AATGATGCCATTTTAGACAAAATGTAACTTTTTATTTATTTCTCCATCTCTTGTATCTCAAAGCCAGGAAGATTTGTTGTCTACTTGGATTTAGAAACAACAATTTTAGTTAAAAATAAAGACCAAGGGTTGAATCAAAGTGAGGGAGATTTATTTGTGGCTAGATGTAGCTAGTTTATGTCTTTGTTTGGTTTTATTTTTTTATTTTTTATTCGAGACAGGGCTTCTCTGTGGCTTTAGAGGCTGTTTCTGGAACTAGCTCTTTTAGACCAGACTGGTCTCATACTCATAGAGATCTACTTGCCACTGTCTCCTGACTGCTGGGATAAAAGGTGTGTGCCACCAATGCCCAGCATAGACAGGGTTTTTTTGTGTTACATCTCTGGCTGGCCTGGAACTTGCTCTACAGACAAGGCTGGCCTGGAACTCAGAGATCCACCTGCCTCTGCCTCCTGAGTGCTGCGCTTAAAGGTGTGCGCCACCAACACCAACACCCCATAAATACTTTTGTGTTGTTTTTAACTTTCTTTACATAAATACTTTTATTTAAAAATTGTTGGTGTGCAGTGTCACTCCCTGGTAAATACTAATTGTGTGTGCACTGTGTGTGTACTGTGTGCACCAGTGCTTGTGTAAGATAGGACAATCTGTAGGCATTCTGGTAACCAAGCAAAGTTTTTTCTCAGCCTTGGCTTCTTAGAGGCCTGAGCCATCCTCTATGTCCTGGTTATTATTATTATTATTATTATTATTATTATTATTATTATTATTCTGAATTTCAAAAAAAAATCTTTTTTTTTCTGGTTTTTTGAGACAGGGTTTCTCTGTGGCTTTAGAGGTCAAAAAAAAAATCTTAAGAGCTCTTAGGGAAAGTCATAAAATCCACATCATATTGAGGCAATGCTTTAATCTTTTGACTAGTTAGGCATACCCCCAACCCCAGCACTTGAGAAGGATTTTAGGTTCTTGACCAAGTTTGCCACTTAGCAAGACTGTGTCTTGGGTGGGCATGACTTAGTGGTGGAGTACTTGCCTAACATGTTCCAGGCCTTGAATTTTCCAACCCAGATCCCAATATGTTTCATGTCTCAGAGATTTGTTTGGTTTTTTTGAGATGGTTTCTCTGGGTAATCCTGGCTGTCCCTGAACTTCTGTAGACTAGGCTGGCCCTCAAACACACTGAGATCCACCTGCCTCAGTGCTGGGATTAAAGGCATGAGCTACCACCACCCCCGATGAATGATATTATTAATTAATTACACAAGGCTCCCCTTCTTGAGCCTTAATATGTGTGTTTTCTAAAAGGGGCACCGTGTCTATTTCCTTAGACAATGCTATATTGCATTGAGACACTTGGATATGTTCGAAGGATTGAATAAAACATTTGGAATCCTGAAACTTCTTTTGAGGGTTAAACCTAGGGCTTCAAACAGGATAGGTAAGCTCTCTCTGCCACTGAACTGCATTCCCAGCCCCCTTTCCTTTCATCGTGAGACTACAGGGTCTCAGTTGGACAGGCTGGCATGGAGCTCACTATGGGTCAGGCGTTTTTTTTTTTTCCTAATCTGCCTCAGGCACTCAAGTTGTTGGTGATTACAGGCCTACACTGCCAACCCTAAATGAGAGCCACAGATCCTATTATAGATGGTTGTGATTCACTATGTGGTTGCTGGGAATTGAATTCAGGACCTGGAAGAGCAGCTGAGCCATCTCTCAAACAAAGAAACAAAATGGCTAGCTTAGGCTAGTTTCTAACCTATCTCCCCACCCCACAAGTAGCTGAGGACAGCCTTGAACATGACCCTTCCTCCAGCTTCCATCATACAAATACTGGGATTAGTGGCATATACCATCCAGCATGGCTTTTTTGTTTGTTTGTTTGGTTGGTTGGTTGTTGTTGTTGTTTTTCCAGACAGGGTTTCTCTGAGGCTTTGCAGCTGTACTGGAACTATCTCGTGTCGACCAGGCTGGTCTCGAACTCACAGAGATCCTCCTGCCTCTGCTTTCTGAGTTCTGGAACTAAAGGTGTGGGCCACCACCGCACAGCTTGTTTATTTTTTGAGACAGGCTGTTTATGTAGCTCTAGCTGTCCTAGAAGTGACTTTGAACTCAAGACTGTCTGCTGTTTCCCAATGTTTGTATACCTGGTTTCATTCTTGTGAATCTACATCTATGCTATATAGGTTGGTCCTCCTGCCTCTGTTGGTGCTTGCATTACAGACATCCACCACATTTGTATTTTTGTTGTATTTTGTTTGTTTGGGGATAGTTCTCCTGGGCCTGAACTTGATTTATAGCCCAGGCTAGCTTGGAACTCACCAAGCTGCTTGTCTGCATCTCCAGTACTGGGATGAAAGGTGTGTGCCACCTCTCTGGCTTGGTTTTTTTGTTTGTTTGTTTTTCGAGACTGGGTTTCTCTGTGTAGCTTTGGAGCCTATCCTGGCACTCCCCTGGAGACCAGACTGGCCACGAACTCACAGAGATCCACGCCTGCCTCTGCCTCCCGAGTGCTGGAAGGCAGAGCACTAATGCCCAGCTTCTGGCTTTTTTTTTTTTTAATTTATTTATTATGTATACAACATTCTGCTTCCATGTATATCTGCACACCAGAAGAGGGCACCAGATCTCATAACAGATAATTGTGAGCCACCATGTGGTTGCTGGGAATTGAACTCAGGACCTCTGGAAGAGCAGTCAGTGCTCTTAACCTCTGAGCCATCTCTCCAGCCCTCTGGCTTGGTTTTTAATAATGTCTATACATTTATTTTTATTTCAAGATGGTTTTCTTGGTGTTGCCCTGGCTGTTCTGGAACTCATTTTGTAGACAAGGCTGGCCTCTGAGCCTGCCTCAATTTCCCAAGTGCTAGGATTAAAGGCCATGTGCCACCACACCAGGCATAATGTTCATTAAATTAAAAATTAATTTTAGGGCATATTTTGTAATTAATCAATACTATAGACCAACTTAATATGGCTACATTACATTTTTGGGGGGTGTGGGGGAGGCCTCTCCCTCATATTATTCAAAAAGAATCCTTTGCTTGGAGACACTTTAGTTTATCACAAAAGGTTACATTGTATCAGTGACTTCATGGAGATAAAGTTCAAGGGGCCCATGTTCTTCTTCTGATTGTCTCTGAGGCTTGCCTGCCTGCCTGTTTAGTCACTGGTTTCTTCATCTATAGTTGGGATTTTAGGGGTCAGTGACCTCTTTCAAAAAAAAAAACAAAAAGCAAAAAACAAAAAAACTGCTCAGTTGTGAAAAGACCTCATCTTCAGCGTTTGTTTTCTCTGTGTGTGTGTGTGTGTGTGTGTGTGTGTGTGATAAAGCTTGAGCAGTAATTTAACACTCAGTTTCTAAGCACTTCAATTAAAAATAGAGAATTGGCAAGATCAATTTGTAAACTGCCTTCACAAGCAGATCCCAGGATATCCTCTGGCTTATCCAGATTACTGGCCCACATACATGGATTTTAATTTTCTTTCCAGTTCCTAGGTTATGTGTGTCTAGAGATTTTTGGTCCTGCCATCTTGATGGACAGTGAAAATACATACCTCGACACTGTTAAAATTGTAGAGATTGGAATGGATGTCAGTTCATAATGGAAACAGTTGCCGGGCATTGGTGGTGCACGCCTTTAGTTCCAGGACAGCCTCCAAAGCCACAGAGAAACCCTGTCTCGAAAAAAACAAAACAAAAAAACAAAAAAAAAAAAAAAAAATGGAAACAGTTAATAGGATAATTCTTGGCTTCCTGAGGAGGATAGTTCTCATACCGTATCTGAGTGTTTGTGTGCATGGGTATAGGTGTCATCAGAGCACAGAGGTGTTGGACACCTGGAGCCTGAGTTACAGCACCTCCTATGGATGTGGGGTTACCTGCAAGATGAGTTACACTTAGGTTCACCTAGCTCCTTATGGTTTGTTTTCTTTTCTTTCTTTCTTTCTTTCTTTCTTTCTTTCTTTCTTTCTTTCTTTTGTTCTTTTTTTCTTTCAAGACAGGGTTTCTCCATGGTTTTGGAGACTGTCCTGGAACTATCTCTTGTAGACCAGGCCGGTCTCAAACTCACAGAGATCCGCCTGGCTCTGCCTCCCGAGTGCTGGGATTTTGTTTTGTTTTGTTTTGTTTTGTTTTTTGAGACAGGGTTTCTCTGTGTAGCTTTGGAGCCTATCCTGGCACTCAATCTGGAGACCAGGCTGGCCTCGAACTCACAGAGATCCGCCTGGCTCTGCCTCCCGAGTGCTGGGATTAAAGGTGGGCACCACCAACCCCCGGCTAATGTAATCTTTTATAATTTATTTATTTATTTATTTTCTTTAAGGAGAAAAGAAGCCAGGTAGGGTGGTGGTGGTGCACATCTTTAATCCCAGCACTCTGGAGCCAGAGGCAGGATGATCTCTAAGTTCAAAGCCAGCCTGGTCAATAGGCTGATTTTCAGGACAGACAAAGCTACATGAAAAGAAGAACAAAACAGAAGAGTGTTGGCCTTTATGTGTGTACATGTACCAAGTGACAGTGCACCAAGGGACATGTCTGGTGCCCAAGGATGCCAGAAGGGGGCATCAGATGCCCTAGGACTGAAATTTCAGACAGCTGCCATTTGGCTCTGGAAATTGAGCCCAGGTCTTCTGGATAAGCATGCCATCCTAGCTTTTCTCTTTTCTTTTTTGAGAGTCTAATACTGTAACCCAGGATATCCTGCAACTTAGTCTCCCAAATGCTGTAAATATAAATTGAGCCAACTCTGTCCAGTCAGTTACTATCTGTATATTTACTTGGCAGTAAACATTCTGTTTCTTACATTATTAATTTATTAGCAAATGCCTTTCTAGTAGAGTACAAACGACTAATAATAATAATAACAATTTTTGTTGTTTTAGACTAAAAACACACCTGACCAAGCTTGGCAACAGCTGCAGATTCTCTTCAGAAGGAAGACTTTGCGAAGGACCCATGACTCTGTGTCCTGCTCCCTTACATCTTTTCCTATGCTACAGCCATGCCTCGGTCCAGCAATGCAAAGCCTTCCAAATCAGTCAGGATAGATCTACACAAAAAGGAAATCAGCCTAAAGAAGACATTAAAGCAGTCTGCCAAACATAAGTTGTCAGGGAAGATGAACTCTGGAAAATTGAAGGAATTAATTCAAAGAAGAGATGTTAAGAAAGAAACAGAAGACAAAACCTCCACACCCTCCAGAAGCCTTCTGACTAGAGCTGGGGCAGCCCGAATGAATGAGGATAGCACCCAAGACCTTTTTCAGAATCCAGAGTCCTTAACTTGCAAGGGGTTTACAATGGCTCTCCGCAGGACCTCTCTTAGCAGGCGACTTTCCCAGTGCCCAGTAGTTACATCCAAACCTAAGAAAGCGCCACCTTCTAAGAGTGTTTCAAAACCGCAGTGTAATCCTAATACCCAGGATGACAAGGTGGAACGCTCAGAAAATGATTCAGTCCCCAGCCAAGACCCCATCATGTCCCCAGACACAGAGAACCTCATTGATGAAGAGAGCTTATGTTTAGTTGAAGATGAAATCCAAGAGATAACCCAGTCTTGGCCTCAAAGGGTAGAAGAGTCCCAAAGGTGTCCTTCCACATATGAGAGTCCTGCAACAGATATGCTTTCTGGGCCACCGGAAGGGACACTCTGTGAAGGACTGCTCTCTCCTCAGACATCAGGTGATGTCAACACGTCCCCTCAGGATTGTGCTCCTTTGCCTCAAGGGTCAACTCCCGAAGTCACCCCTCAGAAAAACACTAGCAATCAGGTTGAAGACTTGGGGTCACAAGTAGAGAGTCTTAAGCTGCCAGAGCCTTCTCCCATTCCAATAGGAAATGGACATAATTGCTTTCCCACCTCCAGTTTTAAGATGCTACCTGAGTTGGATCTTAAAAACTGCATGTCTCTTGATGGGTCTATATATCCCACAGCACTGATAAAATTCCTTTTGGCAGGCTCACAGCCAGATATCCTTGGTGCTAAACCCCAAGAAGAAGAAACTCTCAAAACTAACCCAGATCAAGGTGGGTGCTGCCCAGATCAGTTTCTGGATGCCACCTCTGTCCTAGGACAAGCTTTCGGCACTTTCCCACCTCAGTGGGAGCTTCCTGGTGCTAACTTAGTTCCTGGTGAGGTCCTGGACAAGGTCTCAGACTCACCAGATCTTGGTGCTATTACTTTAGTAAACCAACAAGAAACTTTGAATGTAGATATGGGTACTTCCTCAGACTTGCCTATCTTCCTTCCTAACCCTTCAAATACAGTTGCTACCTACAGTACTCTTCCTCCTGGGCCTGAGCCCCACAACTATGCCTCCTGTGGGCTTGAGGTCCAAGGTGCTATACCGATTTTAACTTTGGACTCAGGATTTGCTCCCCAACCCCCACCAAACTCCGAGTTAAGTTCAATACCTCCAGTAATAGCTACAAACAGTATACAAGACAAGAAGCAGCTTTGTGCAAACCCTTCTCCAGCTAACACACAAGGGTTTACAATTGCCTCGGAGAACGGGCTCCAGAATGCTCCACTGGATCTTACCCGGGGCTCTCAGACTGCTCCCAGCAAATTGGAAGGAGGGATGATTTCTCAGGTCAACATGCCCAGCTCAGCTGATGTCAAAACCACAGGGATGTCTACACCAGTGACACAGGCCAGTGCCTCTTCTCTTTCACATAAACCTACATCGCCGACTGTGGAGAAGAAGAAGCGCAAGCCCTGTGGGGTCTGTGAGCCCTGCCAGCAGAAGACCAACTGTGGTGAATGTACCTACTGCAAGAACAGAAAGAATAGCCACCAGATCTGTAAGAAGAGGAAGTGTGAGGTGCTCAAAAAGAGGCCAGATGCCACCTCAGGAGTACAGGTGAGGGAGCACGTATCCCCACACACAACCCCAGCCCCGCCCCGCCCCGCCTTTCCCCGATTGCTATCTGTAAGAACTTGTGAATGGTATCCTGTGGTGGAGTGATGCTGGAAATTGAACCTAGGGCTTCCAGCAAGTTAAGCGTGTTCACTTCACTACCCTTAACCTTCTTCCTCAACCTTTACCTAAATCTTTTTGTTGTTGTTGTTGTATGTAGCTAGGTGAGGATTACATAATCTCAAGTCCTGCATTAGGTAGTTAAGGACTGCCTGACGTGCCTGCACCAGGTTCTGGGCACACCTGCATGAATGTGGTACAGAGAAACTCATGCAGACAGTGTACAGTGTTCTGTCTGCATGTTGCCTGCAGGCCAGAGGAGGGCACCAGATCTCATTACAGATAGTTGTGAGCCACCATGTGGTTGCTGGGAATTGAACTCAGGACCCTTGGAAGAACAAGCAATGCTCTTAACCACTGAGCCATCTCTCCAGCCCCTTACTGGAACTTTTTGTAGACCAAGCTGTTCTGCAGCTCACAGTAATCATTAATCCCTCTTTCTCAGCCGCACAAGTGCTGGGATCAAAGGCATGTGCCACCACTGCCTAGTTCTTTATTTTTATAATTTATTTACTTTATGTGTTTTGGTGTTTTGCCCGAATGTATATGTCAGTGTGAGGGTGTTGGATTTCCTGGAACTGGAGTTACAGATAGTTGTGAGCTGCCATGTAGGTACTGGGAATTGAACCCTGGTCCTCTGGAAGAGCAGCCAGTTCTCTTAACCACTGAGCTACCTCTCTAGAACCAATTTCCTTCTTTTGCTTCTGAAATGCTTAGTGTGTACTATGCCTGGCTGAACTCCTGGACTTTTATTATATTAGATGGACCATAGTCTCTTAGCATTATTCAATTTGAGGGATTGAATCTGTTTGCATGTTAACATGTATTCTTCTAATGATTCATATACCCCAGTCCCTTTTATTTAGTACCCAAATTATCTCAAAATCAGCACAGCAGTAGCTTGAGCCATTGTATTCTGGCATAATACTGTGCTGACATTGTGTATGCGCTCTTTACTGCTCCAGAGCCCAAGCCAGTTGTTTATCAAAGTGGAGTTAGTTGGTTTTAGTGGAGAACTGCAGCTGGGAACCACTACTTTGATGATAAAAATATTATTGCAATGTTAGGTTTTTATGGGGACCAAGGAGACGGATCATTGACTACGGTGCTTCAACTCTGACAACCTCATGCTATCCCTGGGAACCATACGGCAGAGGGAGAGAACCGAGGTCCTCTGACCTCCATTTTTTGCACCATGATGTGCAGGCCAGCCTACCAGTAAATGTTTTTGTTTTGTTTTATTTTGTTTTGCAACAGGGTTTCTCTGTGTAGCCTTGGCTGTCCTGGAACTAGCTCTCTATATAGACCACGCTGGCCTCAAACAAACCTGTCTGCCTCTGCCTCCCAAGTGCTCCACCAGCACTGCCCAGCTCCGGTATATAAAATGTAGTAAATTTCAAGAAGTCATAATTTGTTTTGAGACAAGGGCTGGCCTCAAAACTCACTATGTGGAAGACTGGCCTTTACTTGCTCATTTTCCTGCCTCTACTTCCCAACTCCCCATTGGGTAAGGTCATGCTCCCTTTGCTTTTGTTTTGTGAGACAATGTATCACTCATTGTGCTGCACAGGTTGGCCTGAATCTAACAGCATCCTCCTTGCCTCAAGATCTGGCTAGTGTGGGCACACCTTTTAAAAAACCCAGCACCACCAAGAAGCAGAGAGGGAGAGAGAAGGAGGGATAGGGAAAGGCAGACAAGAGAGGGGGAGGGAGGGAGGGAGAGACAGAGAGAGGAGAAAGAGACAATAAGCAGCTTTTATGATAGGACAGGCAAGCCCAAACAAACCCTTTCTTCTTGGAGTTGGTTTTGGTCAGCATTTGGCCAGTATAGCCAAATGGGTGAGCTCCTGGTTCACCAAGAGACTCTGTTTCAAAACACAAGGTAGATGGCTCCTGAGGAACAGCTTAGGTTAACATGACCTCTGGCCTCCACACATGCTTCACACAGTAACTTGGAAGCATCAGGGGACACTCACCAGTTCTTCTCGTCTGTGCAGAAGAAATTTTGCCTAAGTGTTGTAAAAAAAAGCTGGTTTGTTCCCAGGTGAAACAGAATTCTCTTGGTTTCCATTGAGATAACCATGAGAACAGCCATTTTCTTCTCTGTGTATTAAGAAGCTTTTGGTGTCTCTGTGTTTTTAGATATTTCTGTTCTATCTACAGCTTGCTTTTATGTCATCATATGCAAACCTTTTGTTGTTGTTGTTTTGTTTTTTTTGTTTTTGGAGACAGGGTTTCTCTGTGTAGCTTTGGAGCCTATCCTGGCACTCGCTCAGGCTGGCCTTGAACTCACAGAGATCTGCCTGCCTTTGCCCCCCGAGTGCTGGGATTAAAGGTGTGCGCCACCAACGCCCGGCCGCAAACCTATTTTGTTAAAGAGCAAAAGTGAGGTCAGGACAGGAGGAAATGGGAGTGCAGGACAAGGGGATGTTGGATACAGTGTGAATGGGATGCACACAGCAAACAATACTTGCCTTTGTGTGTGAATCTCTTCTTAGAGAGCTAATTTGCAAGATTTGTTTACTGAGTACCAGAAATTGAAACTATTTATATAAGGTTTGCCTATTTTTCTGCATGTGAGTGTTTGCTTGCATGTAATGTAAGTACACTGCGTGCATGTTGCCCACAGGTCAGAAGAGAGCTTTAGACCCCCTAGAACTGGAGTGTTATAGACAGCCATGAGCCACCATGTGGATGCCAATAATGGAAGCCAGGTCCTCTCTGCAAGTGCAGCAACCATGCTGAACCTCTGAGCCATCTCTCTAGCCTCTGAACCTTAAAATTTTTGAGATGGGGTTTCTCTGAAGCCCTAGCCTGGTCTACAAGAACTAGTTCCAGGACAAGCCTCTAAAACCACAGAGAAACCCTGTCTTGAGAAAACAAAACAAAACAAAAAAACCAAAAAAAAAAAAAAAAAAAAAAAAAAAAAAAAAAAAACCCCAACAGCCAAGCCAGGTGTGCTGACTTAAGGCTGCAATCCCAGCTCCTCGTAAGTGGATATAGGAGTTATTCTATTCTCAGTCATTCTCAGACAGGATCTCAAATAGCCCAGGTTGGCCTCAAACTTGCCATGTAGCCAAGGACCGTGAACTTCTCATCTTTCTGTATCTACTCTCTATATTACTGGGATTACAGGTGTGTGCCAACATGTGTTGCTGCAGCTGGAACGTGGGGACTTATGTAGGTTAGACAAGCACTCTGCTAACTGCTACACCTGCACCTCAATTCTCAGTGAAGAGGAAAGTATGTCTGGCTTTTTTCTAGTGGGGAATAACTGAAACCAACAAAGGCTAATTTATTGCAGAGATTTATGAAGGGTTTCACAGGATAGACAAGGACAGTTTTAATATCTTTGCAGTCTTATTAACAAATGTAAACATTTTAAGAGTGTGTGTGAGAGAGGGAGGGAGAGGAGGGAGGGAAAAGAGATACCATAGCACAGCATGTTCTGAGCGTCACAGCCCATATGTGGAGGTCAGAGGACAACCTTCCCAGGAGTCTTCATCTTGTGGGTATTGGGTTGTCCAGCTGGTTGTGTGTGTGTGTGTGTGTGTGTGAGACTTTCTTTAGTATTTTCAATGTTGAATCTCATAACATTGCCCAGGCTTGTGAGCTTCCTGTGTCTAGAGGGTATATCCAGTGCCTGGCTTTCACTATAATTATGTTTCACGTGGCAATTCTGTTTAACATGACAATTAATGGTGTCACATTCCTTATGCTGTGCTGTGATCTTCTGCCCCTCCTTTTGAAGTGTTTTCATGTTGAGCTTGGTGACTTAATCTTAGTACTCAGGAGGATTGGTGACAGGATCAGTTAGGCTCATAACTTCAGGACCACCCTGGGTAACATAGAGAACCTATCCTACCTCATTTTAAAAATTGAGTTCTCCTTTTATTGAATGCCAAGAGTCCTTATGTTCTAGACATTAGAATGTGTAATTCTAGTTGGGATGCTGGGTTTTGGTAGGGGTGTGTGTGTGTGTGTGTGTGTGTGTGTGTCCCCTTGGGTGCTAGCAAATGAATCCAAGTCCCCCTCAGGAATGCTAGATGACTGCTTTACTATTGAGATACAGGCCCGGCCTATTTAATGTTATTCTTGGAAGCACAAAAACTTGGTCTGCAGTGCTTATTTATTAACTAGTAATTCACAAGACCCTGAGTTCAGTCCCCAGCAATGAAAACAAAAACAAAACAAAAGCTTCCCTGTCTGTCGTTTGTTGTCCTGTGTTTCCTGGCATCAAAAATTATGATGTTGTGTGTGTTAGGCAATTGCCACTCAAACAGCTCTAAAATGTTGTTAGTTTTTATTTTATTTTATTTTATTTTATTTTATTTTATTTTATTTAATCTATACAGTTCCCTGGTTGTTTTAGCCGAACATTTTTCATCCAGGATTACACAGTGAAATTAAAACCTCATATGAACTCATAACTGCTCTTGGTCCCATGTGGCAGGTTTGTGGGGCTAGGATTTTTTTTTTTTTTTAATGTCTCTTCATTTCTTTCCCCATTGTGCCTGGTGGGTACCAGAACCCAGCAGAGGTGGTTGCCATATAGATGTTGGTTGAATTCAGTGATCATAGTATGGAACTGTATGAATATAGTGAATATTGGTTTCTGTGTTTTTCCTTTTTTTGTTATTTTGTTTTCTTTTGGAAAAGGGTCTCACTGTATTCCTGGCTGGCCCGGAACTTGTTCTTGCTCTCATTTTAGCCACTGAAGTTCTGGGATTACAGGTATGTCCTGTCAAAAGCCGGCAATATTGGTGTGTTGGAACAGGCTGATAATTTGTGCATTTAGTATTTATTGGGTCTCCAATGTTGCATTAAACACTTGACACATTTAATCTTACAGCAGTCCTCTGCAAGACTTTCTGCTTCCAGCT